ATGCTCCATTTAGGCAGGAACAATCAGTGAGAAATTACTATCTAGGAAGGAGTAATGTATAAAGGAATCTTGGGGGTTATCATGGATCACAAGCTAAATTTGAGTGAGCAGTGTAACACTGTTGCAAAAAAAGCAAACATTATTCTGGGATGTATGGCAGGAATGTTATAAGCAAGACACAAGAAGTAATTCTGCTCTACTTCACTCTGATTAGGCCTCAGCCAAAGTATTATATGCAGTCCTGGGCACCACATTTCAGGAAAGATGAGGACAGCTTGGAGAAAATCCAGAGAACACAAAAAATGATTAAAGGCTTAGTAAACATGACATGAGGGAAGATTGGGGAAAAAATTGGTTTGTTAATTCTGGAAAAGAGAAGACTAAGGCTGTCTAGACTGCAAAGAAAAGTCAGAAAAAGATACACACGTTGTGAACTGCAATTTGCGTATCTTTTGCCACTCCTTTTTGGAAGAGGCTTTTCCGAAATTTGGCCCATCTACACGGGGCCAAATTTCAGAAAAACCTCCTCTTTTGGAACATCCCTTCTTCCTCATACAAGGAGGAATACAGGGATGCCAAAAACTCATCCGCTTTTTCTGAAACTGTTCCAAAAAAGTGGATGCGTTCCTTGGATGCAGCATAGTTTTTCCAGGATACCGGAGGTAGACGTAGCTTAAGAGGGGACATAATAGTTTTCAAGTACATATAAGGTTGTTTCAAGAAGGAGGAAATTGTTCTCCTTCACCTCTGATGATAGGACAAGAAGCAATGGCCTTAAATTGCAGTAAGGGTAGTTTTGGTTAGACATTAGGAAAAACACTGGAACAACTCAGATAGTGGGGTTGTGGAATCTCCATCCCTGGAGACGTTTAGGAGCAGGTTAGTAACACCTGTCAGAGATGGCCTAGATAATACTTAGTCTTGCCATGAGTTCTCTTGCCAGAGAACTAGACTAAATGAACTCTCAAGGTCTCTTCCAGTACTACAATTCTATTATATGGTGCTGGGGAACTTTGCTTCTGTTGTGTTGCTTCTGCCCTCTGACAGTCCAAACAGCAAAGGAGATGAGGAATTTCCTTGTTCATTATCTTTGTTTCCTTCTTACCGGAATGTAAGCTGCTGGGGCAAGCCCTTTTGACAAGTTGACTGTTACTGGGCAAACTTTTTTGTAAACCATTATGAAGCAAAAGCATAAATGTTCCCTTTCTAGCATGAGATACAGACATTGTAAGTAGGATTAATACACGTAGTCGCTTACAAGCATTTCATGAAGTCTAAATACATTGTGATAAGCCAGATACCCATCTTATCCATGCTAAACGCTGAGCAGGACTGTTGGCAGTGCTAAGTTGAGGCCTAAACTCTTGGCAAGAATGGGCATATGCTCTGCCAGCATCACAATCACCTTTTAAAAAAAAAAACATTTAAATGTCTGAAGGCCAGGGACTTGGATGGCTCAGAGAATTAGTAATGGCTTTACTACTTATAAATAATAATAATTTTGTACTTCACTAGTGCCAAGATGACCCAGGCAGTGGTTGTCAGAAAGGAGACTAATTCCGAACACTGCTTGAAATGCCCACCTGTAAAGAGGCATTCCCAGGACACTTGATGCTGTTATGCAACGCTTTGAAACTCAAGAGATTTGAAGCCCCTGTAGGTTTTGAAGTTATATTAAGTGTTGAATGTGAAAAGGTAATCACTGTGATGGAAAGCCAAGCAAAATGAATAGGGTCTAGCCACGTGAAACAGTAATGTAATATGCTTGCCCAGTGTAGTATAATGCTCCAGTTCCACAATCTTCAGCCCAGTGTGCACAAAAACAAGTACATGTAAGCTGTTGGTTAATTATACTATTTTTCTTTATCATAAACAGTTTATCTGCTGTTACTGAATATGCATTTGTGTACACGTGCTGTTCTCACTGTAACTCCACAGTGAAAAATCCATTACCAGTCAATTCAATTCTGTGAAGTAATGGAGTAAGCCACAGTAAACAATCAACTTTAGAGGGTTAATAAATTGCATGAGTTGTTTCTCTTTGCTTTTATAAATAAGGGTGGCCTCAGTCTGCTTTATTTTTTAACATTATTAATCTTAATGGAAAAAGTGCATAACTAAATTTAAAAAAAGAGTACAGTGTCACAAGTCACTGTTCCTTGTCCAAGCTCTACAGGTTGTTGCATTGTGGTACAGATCTTGCATTGTCCACCTAAAGCTAATAACTACAGGTGCTGGAACACTGCCGAAAAGTGTTCATGAACACAGGCTCAAATTCTAAATGACTGTTCAAATTCAACCCAGAGTAGGCTCCTTTTTATTTGCCGTTCAGCAATAGTCCTAAATAGATTGCGTTTCACACAACTATCTGTTCTTCTTATGGTTACCCATATTTATATAGGGGAAAAACGGTATTCTACGTGCTATTCTGTTTTGCTTTGGGGTTTTTTTTTTTTTTTTTTCAGTTTTAACTGGGGACCACTAACATTATTACATGACTTTGGTAACCAACTGCATATCACAAACCCCAATTATTTAAAGTAAAAAGTTTGCAAACATCCCGAGGGCTTAATTACCTCGCAGTACTATTCAGTAAATATAACTGAGTAATATACTTGCAAACATCATAACGGGTATCAAGTGGGCAGCAGGGAGGGACGGGAGGGTAGATTTTCTCCACTGATTTGAAATTAACGTTTTAGTTTCCTGTACTGATAAGAAACAGCCGTGTATTTTATTTTTAGCCGATAAAGATAGAGAACAGTCATGGACTGTGATTGTCTATTCCTGCAACAGAAAATACTTAACTTAAATTCTTCTAGGTAAAAAAGAAAATGTACAGTTGTTTGGCTCTGACTTCACTTGTTTACATGGGGCAGCTTGCTTATGGATTAGGCAAAAGAAACAAAATAAGCACTGGTATGTCCATAGGTATTCATGCAAAAGCTCCTGGAAAGACCTCTTCAGGCTAACAAGAAATGTATTATTGGGTGATATTTATTTTAGAGCTCTATTGTACTGAGGAGAGGTCCCTCAAGATGCCTCAACTAGAAAATATGTTTCCCGCATTGCTAGTCTTTCACTTTTAGTTGAGAAAATTAGCGTTTATGCTTCAGGTTCGAGAGGACCATGGCAAAACATTCTGATCTTTTGACACTTACTAATGAAATAAAATATTGATAGCAGAAGTCCGGGACCACAGCTTGAGTTTTACCATTTCTTTCAGTTTTCTGATGGGTCTGCTTAGTTTACACCCTAATATACCATTATATTTGTATCTTGGGGCCTCAAACACGGATACGTCAAAAACAAAATTATAAATAGGCTTTATGAAATTCCATTTTTGTCTAAGAAGATTTAATACCAATTTGTAATTTCTTTAATTTTTAACTTAGTCATAGTGGCAAAAAATGTAATTGGAACTGGGCTTAAGTCATCTCTGATGGGGGATGCAGAGTCCTCTGCGCATGGCTGATGGGCCCAAGACACCTGGATTCAAGGTGAGGGGAGAAACTGTGCTCCTGACCCAATGGAGGAACAACCTATTGCAGGGGCAGATGAGTTTTGCGGGGCCCCCCTTTGGAGAAAAAATAGAAAAAAGGCATCAAAGGCGCAAATTGAAGGCTATTTTCATATTAAATGTGAATTGGGGAAATTTGATAGAAACTTAATTTAGTTGGATAATTTTATTTTAATTATATTGTAATTCATTCTTAAACAAAATTCTGCATTAATAATTAAAAGTTTTCATTTGTATTTAAGTCTATTATAGCTGTCTAGCCCTTTTGGCAGCACATTCTTCAATTATGTCATTAAAGTCCATTTCTTTACACAGGTTGTTTTCAATCAATATAATCAAAAGACCTACAAAATGCTCCTGGCTCATAGTAGATCTTAAATAATTCTTTATTAGTTTCAATTTAGAGTGCCCACTCTTTCGGTAGTACCACTCTGATTATGTGAGCTACCCTTCTTCATCCCCTCTCCTAACACCTCCCTCTACACACTTGCCCTGCCTCTCTCCTCTGGTACTGGTCCCTCCCCTGCAGGTGTCTGCCCTTCTGCTTCACCCCCAGAGTCCCCTGGCACCTGCACCTTCCCTTCCCTCACTGCCCCTGCCCCTTTGCCCTCTTTTTCCCTGATGCCCACCCCCTCATCACTCTCTGCCCTCGTTCCCCTCATGTCCCTGTGGCCTCACACATTACTTGCTCCATCCCTACCTTCCTCATGCCCACCCCTTCTTTCAAGCCTTATCCTAACACCTCCCCCTCCAGCCCTCAATGCCCTTACCCTCTCCTCTCCCAGCATCACCCTCTCCCCTTCCCACTGCCACCTCCCCTCCGGCCCTTTTCCTCATTGTCTCCACTTGGCCCCCTGGCATTTGTCTCTCCTCTACGCAGTCCCTGGGTGCCCTCCCCGCAAGCCCAAGCCCACCTTCTGCCTTCCAGTTTGCGGACCCACGTGCCAGACCGCACGGCGCAACACTGGGCTGCGCAGTTTTAAAGTCCTGGACCGTGACATCGCACCACGCCCGGGCGTCCCCCCTCCCAGCTGGTGTGTGGCATTTCAGCAGGCCACGCATGCGCTCCCTCAGCTCTACAGTGCCCCATACTGGCCAGCGCTGGGGAATTTAAAGTGCGGGGCTGCGGTGCCGCATCACAATCCCCCCTCCTTCAGCAGACGGCCCACTGGGAAATTCCTGGTATCCCGCCGGGCCAGTCTGCCCCTGTAAAAAACTCCAGCGCTGGTGTGGGGCCTATTGAAGCACGGGGCATTCGCCCTGCCCTATATCCACTGCTGACACACTGTGCCAGCTGCAAGCCCTGAGGGAGGTCGCACCACTGCTGAAGGGCTCCTGCCTGGGAATGGCCCTTGTGCTTTCAGTCACTGAGTGAGGGAGCACAGCTGCATCAGCAGAGCTTGTAAGGACTCTGGTTTGGTTTTGGAGACAGTGCTGCTGGATTCCTGAAGACATGAGGTGAAAGGGAGGCTGCAGTCCTGATAGGACAGAGCAATGACCCCTTCTCAGGTCCTGCCTCCCTGTGTTCCCAACCCATGAGGACTATAACACTGGAGCTGTAAAGGGCTCCCTGCATTGCCATGGGCCCCATAGCATTGGCTCCCTGCAGGCACTGTGTGTGGAGTAGGATGAGCTACTAATTCTTATCCATTAATTTTTTTCTCTTCAATTTTTCAGACAGGTGAAACTGATATTTACCCACACCTAGCAATTTAACGCGAATCCTGCCAAATCTTACCATGATGATAATCTGAGGTTATCTGGAGTAATAAGCACCTCCTGATCTGAACAAATGTTGAAGTAAAAGGCTCAGGAATTTCTTAGCCCAGCTGTACTTATTACCTGACTGTGACACCCTATGAAATATGGGAGACACTTTCTGATATTAACACCAGTATCTTAAAATTGCAAGGAATCAGACCAGTATGTCATGTAAGAGATCTGTGAACATGTTACCATTTGCCAAGTATGATAATCTTGTTTCTATGTTTGAATCACCTTAGTGTTATGAGTTATAAATATGTATGGTACATCTGTGTTTCCAAACTTGTGCTGTGTTTTTGGGTGACACTCCCAGACAGATTAGCAACAACACTGCCTAGCCTATTTGCTATAGCCCATTAAGGATCACCAGCTGTACAAGAAACCCATTGAAAAAGACCAGGACTACATGTTATGAGCCAGTAGTCATGTAGAGGCATGTCTATGGAAACAATGCAAAGGCTTTTCCATGCCATGTGCTATGAAGCTTTTGTTTGGGACAAGGGAACTACAGGCCACATGGCAAAGGATATATAAAAAAGCAGCTGCATGGTCTCCATTTTGTCTTCAGTCCTGCTTCTTACTTCTAGAGTAACTTTTCTACAAACTGAAGTTCTGAACAAAGGACAGAGAAGACTGGAAAAGGGCAAATATTGTGCCCATCTATAAAAAGGGGAATAAGAACAACCCAGGAAATTATAGACCGGTCAGTTTAACGTCTGTCCCAGGGAAGATAATGGAGCAGGTAATTAAGGAAATCATATGCAAACACTTGGAAGGTAATAAAGTGATAGGGAATAGCCAGCATGGGTTTGTGAAGAACAAGTCATGCCAAACTAATCTGATAGCTTTCTTTGATAGGATAACGAGCCTTGTGGATAAGGGAGAAGCGGTGGATGTCATATACCTAGACTTTAGTAAGGCATTTGATACGGTCTCGCATGATATTCTTATTGATAAACTAGGCAAATATAACTTAGATAGGGCCACGATAAGGTGGGTGCATAATTGGCTGGATAACCGTAGTCAGAGAGTTGTTGTTAACGGTTCTAAATCCTGCTGGAAAGGGATAACAAGTGGAGTTCCTCAAGGGTCTGTTTTGGGACCCGTACTGTTCAATATCTTCATCAATGATGTAGATATTGGGATAGAGAGTACTCTTATTAAGTTTGCAGATGATACCAAACTGGGTGGGGTTGCAACTTCTTTGGAGGATAGGGACATAATTCAAAATGACCTTAGCAAGTTAGAGAAATGGTCAGAGGTAAACAGGATGAGGTTTAATAAGGAGAAATGCAGAGTGCTCCACTTAGGAAGGAACAATCAGTTCCATACATACAAGATGGGAAGCGACTGTCTAGGAAGGAGCATGGCGGAAAGGGATCTAGGGGTCATAGTGGACCACAAGTTGAATATGAGTCAACAGTGTGATGCTGTTGCCAAAAAAGCAAATATGATTCTAGGTTGTATTAACAGGTGTGTTGTAAGCAAAACTCGTGAAGTCATTCTGCTGCTCTACTCTGCACTAGTTAGGCCTCAGCTGGAGTACTGTGTCCAGTTCTGGGCGCCACATTTCAAGCAAGATGTGGAGAAATTGGAAAGGGTACAGAGAAGAGCGACAAGAATGATTAAAGGTCTAGAGAAGCCTATGAAGCCAGGCTTCATGAACTGGGCTTGTTTAGTTTGGAAAAACGAAGATTAAGGGGGGACATGATAGTGGTTTTCAAATATCTAAAAGGGTGTCACAAGGAGGAAGGAGAAAATTTGTTTCTCTTGGTTTCTGAGGACAGGACAAGGAGTAATGGGCTTAAAGTGCAGCAGGGGAGGTTTAGATTGGACATTAGGAAAAAATTCCTAACTGTCAGGGTGGTCAAATATTGGAATAAATTGCCAAGGGAGGTGGTGGAATCTCCCTCTCTGGAGATATTTAAGAACAGGTTAGATAGACATCTGTCAGGGATGGTGTAGATGGAGCTTGGTCCCGCCTTGAAGGTGGGGGGCTGTACTCGATGACCTCTTGAGGTCCCTTCCAGTCCTATGATTCTATGATCCAAGCTATGAATGTGTTCCAGAGGGACTTTCAAGCCAGCAAACTCCCCAACAGAGCTAAGAACCTTGAACTCTGTAGTCTTATGTATGTATCTGATTGCTTGACTGTTTAACAACTGTCTTCTTTCTCGTTCATTCTTTCTTTTAGTTTAAGACATCAAGTAGTGTGGTGTTTGGATAAAATTCCAACTAATATCAACCGCGTAACGTGGCTGACATTTGGGAGTCTGGAGAACATTTTGTACGTGTGAGTAGAGTTTTTAAAATAAGTTCTTGCTGTACTGAATCTGGGTGCTGACTGGGAGCCAGAGACCTGGAATGCAATAAAGGGGGTTGTGTGATTTCTTTTACAGCTTCTTGACAACCAGTGGGGGGAAATCAGAAGCACAGTTTGGTCAGTGAGTTTAACCACCAGTTTTGGGAGTATCTGCTTTCCCTTTTGCAGCCTGCTCTGACCTTGCTTTTCAGTGAGTGCTGCCTTAGGCACACCCAGTCTCACAGAAAGCAACCTCAAATTATCATACCAACACCTTCCATTAATCATTGGGTGTTCCAAAAACACTTCAGAGCTGGTCTAACTCTGCTGCTGTTGAAATCAGCCATTAACCTCAATAAAAACAGTATAATGAGAACACTGAACTTCTCTAAAAATTCCACCCTGAATATTCAAATTGTCAGTGTGGCCTAGGGGTAGAGCACTGGGCCGGGACACAGAGAACCTGGATTTTTAGCTCCATTTTGGCTATTGGCCTGCAGGGTGTCCTTAGGCAAGTTGTTTCCTCTCTGAGTGTCTTTTCCCCATCTCTAAAACGGGTATAAAAAGACTGGGCCATCTTTGTAAAACACTGAGATCTACTACAAACAAGTGCTAGATATTGCTATTTACTATTGTTAATGAGTGGAAATATTCAGTAAAAGGGAGGAGTGAATTAGTGATGGCCTATCAACCTACTGCAAGGTGTTTATTTTTTAAGGTAGAAAATATTTGTGGCTCTTCCAGTTACCTTACCTCTCTCCTGTTTCTACAGCCCTCCTTGTCACTCTTCAAATCAGCAAGGAGTTTCTCCCAGAACTGCTACACTGATACCCAATTCAGGTGTGAAACCCAGATAAGAGTAGCTAGAATTCTCCCAATGAAAATGCACAATACAAAAAAAGGACCCTGACTGGGAGGAGAAAAGTCCCTCTGACTAGTAGGAATTTGCAAGGGAGCAAAGGGAAAACAAAGTGTTATGTAGGTCCAGGGAGCACAGATACAGGTATTCACACCAGGTATAAGTTAAGGCTGGATTCACAAGGGAGATGTAAGTGCATGAGGGGACTCCGCGGGGGTGCATCTCTCGGGTTCTCCTGGGGGGGTGGTCCTGGCCGCGGCCCCTCGCCCCTGCCCCGTGCGGGCCGGGGTCGGACCGTCACAGCACGTACCTGCCTTTTAAGGGCTCAGGTCCAGTTTTTAGGCTAAACAAACTGCTCAGCTGCTGCAGGACATGTGCAAAGCTGACTGAGTCTTGACATCACTGGGCGATCCGGTGCCCTAGCTCGTTCCTCAGGATGGGTGAGATTCACAAACTAGGCATTTCCCCCTACTGGGCCTGACTCCTAGTATGCTCTGAGCACATTGTTATGCTGCAGCTCCCCACACCTGAAGCCCATTACCCCTGTGGTTTGAGCACTCACTTGGGAAGTGGAAAGCAGGTCCAAATCTCCACTTGCTCTGATTTGGTGCAGATACTTAAAGCTATCCCACCTTCCAGGGGAGTTCCCTGCCACTGGCCTATGGCGTACACTAGGCTGGGGGTTCTCTTCGTACTGGAGAAATAATTGAGAACACATGCACATGACTGACTCTATAGTCTGGTGTTTAGAACATCTGGAGGCCAGGGTTGAAGGCCTTGCTCCATATCAGACAAGGTAGCCTTTGAACATTTGTGTCCTACATTTTAGCTGAAAGCTCTCACTTTTTCGGGTGCCTGTCCCTGTACTGCAGCAGGAGCCTGGGCACCTCGGATTGTAAATTCCACCAGGTGGCAGGAAAGGAAAATGTTAAGCACTGCAATGCCCAAGTTCCCATTGTGAATCTAGCCTCAGTGCCTTCCACTGTTAACGGCTTTCCTTCAGCTACATTTTAAAATTCTCAGCACCTATTGGTTCTGACTATCTAAATGAAGGGCCCTGAGCGTAGACTTTAAATGGCAAGCAGGGGAGTCCAGTTTAATATCCGAGCTCGCTGGTTCTCTTATAAGCTGTGATGGGCATTTTAGAAATGCCTAAGAATGATACAGAGATAGAAACAGGCACAAAATAATTGAGATCATTCTAAAACATTTTGAATCTGCCACAAGAGGTCACTATAACCATTAACAATGGGTAAATGTGTCTCATAGCAGGGCTTTGAACACTGATACATGTTTCCTTTCTTCACAGTATATTGACAGAGTAGAAACTAAGGGGCTACGTCTACACTGGCCACAATTTCCGGAAAAGCCATGCAAATCAGGTAAGTCAGGATAGGGAAATGCACGGGGGATTTAAATATCCCCCGCGGATTTAAATAAACATGTCCACCGCTTTTTTTCCGGCTTGGGGAAAAGCCGGAAAAAAAGCGTCTAGACTGGCGCGATCCTCCGGAATAAAGCCCTTTTCCGGAGGATCTCTTATTCCTACTTCAAAGGAATTCAGCAGTTTCGTTGACGCTGGTAAACCTCATTTTACGAGGCATAACGACTTTTGTTGACAGAGTTCTGTTGACAGAAGGTGTTATTGCATCTAGGGTTGTGGCTAGACTATAGGGTTTTGTCGACAAAGCAGTTTGCTTTGTCGACAGAACTGAATGTAGTCTAGACGCTCTTTGTCGACAGAAGTTTTGTCGACAGTATCTGTCGACAAAACTTCTGTCGACAAAAGCCTGTAGTCTAGACGTACCCTAAGGCTGTACTTGATTATTTATTTCCCACATGCTACATCTGTTTTATAAGGTGACCCTATGGGCGTAGTATTCTTTCATTACTAAATTCAGCACAAGAATCCTACCTATGAAAAATACAGAGGCTGTTCTTTCCTTTTCCTCCCTAAGGAGCAACCTTTGCAAATAGACCTTGTCTGCACTACAGAATTTTGTTGACACAAGTTATGTTGACAATCAGAAAGAGCTATAATAACATTGCTACTGTATGTTCACACTGTACTCCTGTTGGCAGAGCACCCTCCATTCTTGGCTCTCTAGCATTGACATTAAGAGCAGAGTACTATGACTCGTGTGTTACGTGAAGGAGAAAGTGAACAAGGAAATGTTACTTTCTCCACCATATTCATGATTTTATAGATCTCTATCATCTTCCTCCATAGCCCTGGTCTATTGTTTCAAAATAATAAATGGAGTGTCCACAATCTGAAGAAGTGGGTTGTGCCCACGAAGGCTCATGATACCATCTACATGTTTTGTTAGTCTCTAATGTGCTTCAGAACCATTCATTTTTTTTAAAAAAAAATTTCACTATGAAGCCCCTTATTTCGAAAAAATGAGCTGGTTATTTTGAAAGCTGTACTCCTGCTTTCCCTGGGGAATAAGATTATTTTGACATGGTAATTTTGGGAGTAGTTATTTTGAATTTAGTTTGAATTTAGTTATTTCAAAATAATTTCCTAGTGTGGACATGCCCTTAGTTGTCTCTTTTCCAAGCTGAAAAGTTTCAGTCTTATTAATCTCACCTCACAGAGAAGCTGTTCCCTATTCTTAATTATTTTTGTTGCCCCTCTTGGTACCTTGGTACCTTTTTCAATTTAAATATTTTTGTTAAATGGGGGCAATTAGAACTGTATAGAGGACTAAAAAAGAAACAAGTTAGTTTAAAAATGTTGTAGGACTTCAGAATATACATGCTAATAGATGAGAGCAGTTAGAAATTTTCAAAAGAAGTAATAATGTCACTTGATAATCTAGGATTAAAACCTGCTTGTCAGATACATTCAAGTAGTTCCACTGATTTCAATAGGACTGTTTGTGTGAGTCAGATAAAGGAGATTTGGCCGTACAATTTTGGGCCAGATCCTACCAGCTGGTATAATTCCACTGACTTTAATGCTTCTCACCAAATGAGAATCTGACCCATTGGCACCTCTCTCACTCAATTAGAATCACATTCTAGACCCAGTGTGTCAAAGTCATTTGGTGGCAAAGATAAAATTACATTTTTAATTATGTGTGAGCTAAATCTCCAAATTAGGGCCATATTCCAAACTTGATCCATCAGAAATCTTTCATTGATAACTGGGGGCACATTTCATTTGGCCTTTCAAGATCCTCCTCCTGTAACTATTTGATTTGCCCATGCAATTGCTGCCACTGAACAAAATAGTTACATAATTGCATGCCCCCATTTAATTGAGATTGGTGCGAATATTGGATTAACTGGTGATTCCCTGAATTCCTAGAGCTTGTCTACACAGAGAGATTGACGGGCGCAGCTATTACAGAGTAAGCTATGTTGTGATAGATATTTCAGAATACATCTTTTGTGGACATTCTATTCTGAAATAAAAGTCTCTATTTCAGAACCATTGCTGTGCTTTGTGTAAAGTGACTTATTTTGGAATAGCATCCTCGTAGGGAGCTATTTTGGGATAGCTTTTTTGGGGGGATAGCTATTCATGGTCAATTTACTTGTATTGGTGAGCTCTTAGTGACTGTGTTGATTAGCAATGCACTTGAACGAACGTACATTTAAGTTATATTATTTCTGTGATAGGATAAAAGACTTCACCTTTTAAAGAAAAGCAGGCTCTCTTTATGCCTGTCTTTTAGTTTACAGCATGTACCAGAACTGTGCTGTAGGATTACTTTTGCCCAGCTGCAGTCCACCCCTAGAAAGAAGCTGTATTCATCCTAACGGCAGGATGTCTATTAACACAGCAGTTACACTGTCATTTGGGCAAAAAGCCAAAGTCAAAACACTGCTTCACTGGCTCTGCCACTGTCCTGATGTCACATCCCTCCTTTAGCGCCCCTGAACATACTCAGATGAAGCAGCCAGTTGTTAGCTAGAGGCAGCCGCTCTCCACAGAAACAAGAGATATGAGCCATACGTGGAAGACCAGCATAAAAGCTCTATTTGTGTTCATTTAGGAGTCAAGGGTTGGTGTTAACATTAGTCTTGTCTGCTTGGAGTTGATTGCTCTCTGTGAGGCTTTAGAAAGATTGTCCATCTTCCGAGTCTCTTAAACTGCTCATGTGAACTAATCCGTAAACAACTGGACAGGCCACTTTTCACACTTTTGAGAGGTTCCTCCAAAATCTCATATTGAAATCTCCCTCCCTTCCCCTTCCCCCCTCCCCCCGAACTAGGGCACAGATTCTCAAAGGTGCCTACCTCCCACTGAAATAACTGATTTACATTCCTAAATATCTTTGGGGATTGAGCCCAAGTGCCAAAATGTGGCCATACTATGCATGTTGCAAATACCTTAGATAAGATTAGATGGAGCTAAAAGGTAGAGGGAACTTCAGTGAGTTATTTTAAATATACTTCTTGAAAAGGTAATTGGGAAGTGACATTAAGTCAGTAGGGAAACACTCAGATACATCTTCCATTACAACGCACGTTCTACTGTTCAGTTCATGATCAAAGTACGGAGAGTACACATATAGTATTGATCAATAACTGGGTTATGCTTAATGATGATGGTTCAAATATTTAGGTGGGAAGTCTAGTGTGAGTTTTGCTTCAGAAAATGAGTTTGTGCATTTCTTTAAAAAAGTGTTGAGCACTAAGGCAATGAGAGTTAGCATGTTTGTTTGTTCAGCATCACAGAGCCATAGATGCTACTTACACGAGATGAGGGGATGTATTTTATTGGGGAAAAATCACTGAAATTCAGCGCTTCCCCACATGATTTGGAATGCATTTAAACAGAACTGCATTCAAATTCAAGTGCAGCTGGTAACAAATAGAGATTCGTACAAGGTGCTCCACTTAGGAAGGAGCAATCTATTTCACGCATACAGAACTGGAAGCAACTGTCTAGGAAGCAGTACTGCAGAAAGGAATCTAGGGCTCATAGTGGACCACAAGCTAAATATGAATCAACAGTCTGACTCTGTTGCAAAAAAACCAAACATGATTCTGGGATGCATTAACAGGATTCCTGTAGCACCTAATAGACTAACAGAAGTATTGGAGCATAAGCTGACGAAGTGGGTCTTTGCCCATGAAAGCTTATGCTCCAGTACCTCTGTTAGTCTATAAGGTGCTACAGGAATCTTTGTCGCTTTTGCAGATCCAGGCTAACACGGCTACCCCTCTGATAATTAACAGGATTGTTGTGAACAAGACACGAGGAGTCATTCTGAACTCTGCACTGATTAGGCCTCAATTGGAGTATTGTGTCCAGTCCAGAGAAGACTGAAAAGGAACATGATAGCATTTTTCAGGTATCTAAAAGGGTGTCACAGGGAGGAGGGGAGAAAATTGTTCTCCTTGGCCTCTGATGATAGGACAAGAAGCAATGGGCATAAACTGCAGCAAGGGAGGTTTAGGTTGGACATTCGGAAAAACTTCCTAACTGTCAGGGTGGTTAAGCACTGGAATAAATTGCCTAGGGAGGTTGTGGAATCTGCATCACTGGAGATATTTAAGAGCGGGTTAGACAGACCTCTATCAGGTGGTCTATACCACTCAACATGCGGCCTGGGGGCCACACACAGCCCATGGCCCATTTGTTTGTGACCCACGGTGCGGTTTGGGTTTACACGGGGCTCAACACGCAGCCTGCAGGTGGGAGCCTTGAATACAGCCTCCACTGGGAGCATACTCCACAACAGTGAGGCGTTTACCAGGCGCGGTGAGCACTGAACACACACAAATGCCCCGGTGGGCGCTATGGAGCCCGCGGGCACCGCGTTGGGGACCACTGATCTAGATGTTCCTGCCATGAGGTCAGGGGACTGGGAATTGATGGCATCTCAAGGTCCCTTCCAGTTCTAGTATTCTATGATTCTAAGGTACATGTACACACATGTAATAACAAGTGAGAGCTATTGAAGGACTATGTAGCAACAAGGAAAAAAACTTTATTTCATTCATCCCTGTAAGTCTGGGCAATGTTATGCTAGTGTTTCTAATTATCACAGTAGTTTTACATGCATGCATAGGGAAGTAATCAGAAAACAGCTATCCTTCTCGGATCTTGGGAAGACTGATACAGGCAAGAAAACAAGAGTCATTACAGGATTTATTTGATATAACAAGAAGGTTTAGCTCTCACATAAAACATTAATGAGGTAGCGGGATGTAGGTGTCGCCGAGTTACCTGATTTATTTTTATATTACCATGGTTCTAGGGCAGAGCAGGCCTGCACAGTCACAACTGCCAAAAGGTGCCCAGTAGAGAATCTGTTCCCCAAAAGTGTGATTAGAGACCCCCAAAGCTGGCACAGTGCCCAGGCTCTATTCAAACACCAAGGGAGTCAGTGACTGGATTCCTTCATAGAAGCCTAATGAG